TAACGAATAGAGAATTAATCTCTGTGGACGTACAAGATTTTGAGTATGTACCAAAACCGAAATTTGAAGGTCCCTTTACAATATTCAATGAGCCTAATGAGAAAGTAGCTGTAACAAGATTTTTCGACCATATTAATGAAATAAGACCGCATATATTTGTAACGTACAACGGTGATTTTTTCGACCGGCCATTTGTTGAAGCTGGAGCTGCTGTGCATAAAATGGATATGAAAGAGAAAATTGACTTGTATAAAAATCGCGAAGGTGTTTACGTTAGTAGAGCTGCTATGCACATGGATTGTTTATTATGGTAAATATTTTATGAAATTTTATAAATTATTGCAAATATGATCTTATCAAAAAACATTTTTGTTGGGTGAAACGTGATTCTTATCTCCCAGTGGGTTTTTAAAATTTAAAAGCAGTCGCTAAAACTAAGTTGAGATATGATCCAGTAGAACTTGATCCAGAATATATAATATGTGCAGATTAGCATCGGAAGAACTCGCCTGAAATACTCGCAAACTATTCTGTCTCTGATACAGTGGCAACATTTTATCTCTACGGTCACTGTTACAGAATTTCATGTGTGGTAGCCTTTATGCGTGGTCTACAATGAACAGTAGTAATAATGGAACAGTATTATAGCTAATCACGTTATATTATCTGCAAGAAATGCTGATATTGATGAAATAAACCAGAAAGTAGTTAATTTATTGGATGAAACAACAGAAAGAATTTATACAAGTGTGGAATACTCTTGAAATTATCGATAACGAAGATATATATGAAGCAATTACAAAAGAATATCTTAATTCTTTAAATCCAACGTGTCTTCCACCACATATATTACGCTTAAGAAAATACACTGTTATTATGCTTATTAGAAATCTTAATATTAATGAAGGTTTATGCAATGATACTAGACTGTTAGTTTTAAATTTAGAAAATAACTTATTACGATGCGAAATTTTGTCAGGTAATAAGATTGGAGAAATTATTTTTCTTAACCGAATTACTTTATATTGTGAAAATATATATCCATTCACTTTCAAAAGAAGACAATTTCCAGTGAAATTAGCATTTGCTATGACTATAAATAAATCACAAGGACGAACTTTCGAAAAAGTTGCAGTAGATCTTCGAAAAAATATTTTTAATCATGGACAATTGTATGTTGCATTATCAAGAGTATGTTCTTGGGATTCATTAAAGGTTTATTTAGAAGATAATAATCTGAATCGTGTAAAAAATTACGTTTACAAAGAAGTACTTGAATGATAATGCACGGATAAGTACAAGTAATAAAGTCAGCTTATGAAAATTTATTAAAGTAATGAGATCTTGAAAGAGTCATAAGATGCTTTAATTGAATCGAATAATATCTACCTAATTTATTTTATTTTTTATAAATTCTATTTATGGAAATATTAAAATAAATTAACAAAAGGAACACAACTGTGTGCCCCCCCCCCGATTTTGACGAGCTTTTAGTATGTTGTTCTATAAATAAAAATAAGAGACGTGTGTACTTTTTTATATATATTCGACTAAGTTGCACGTTAAAGTGATGAAAATATTCTTTGAAAAAAATCAGTATTTTTCTTTCGAAATGAATATCTTCGAAATTGTAAGACATAGAAATAATTTTCTAGAATAAAAATTGAATGGTTTCAAGAGTAATTTAGAACTGCAATACAAATTATTTTTTATAAATAAATAATTTAAAAAATTTTTATTATAGTCATAAAATATTCTTGTATGTGTCAAGCCATTTAATTTTTATTATCACTTATTAATAACAAATCATATTCGTGAACTAGCCATTCAATTTTTTTTATCACTTAATTATTATTTTTCTTATTACTTATTTATTTGATATGAGTATAATGAAGTCTAAATGATAAATAAATTAAAAATAATAAAAAAATAAATATTAATCTTCTAAATTAGTTTTAAAATAATTAATAATCAGGATAAAAAGGAATTTCTTTAAGACTTACTCCACTCAATATTTTTTTTGCTCAATATTTCTAATGTCTAACATAAAATTATATATTATCATTTCTATCTCCTTAAACAGTAGAAAAGAAAAAAAAATATTAACTATTATAATTATAAATAATTAGAACATCAAGTAAAACAATATGTCAATAAAAAGCATTATCTTATTTATCATGAATAAGATTGATAGATCTTATTCATGATAAACAACAGATCATCATTGATGATCTAATTTAATTCCTGTGTTTTCACAGATGATGATCAAAATTAAAACTGTTAAGTGGGCTTTAGTGAATAATATTCCGAAGTCCACTAATAAAAGGGTCGCAAATATAGGAGTTCTTTTTAGATCTTCCCTAGCGCCCTCCTCCTTATTGAGGAAAGTATAGAAAATAAAGATTCGAATAAATTTTCGAATCGAAACATAAATAAATTTGGATATAACTATTCTCTTTTTCAAGAGAAGTAAAGTAAAATATTTCAAACTTATAAACAATGTCCTTTATGGATCAAGAAACACGGTCAGTGTATTGACGCTAAAACTAGCGCAGCGACATCGAATATACAATATTATGAGAAGTGGATTAGGCCTAAGGGGGAAACCACTATAAAAAAACGCGTCGTACTATCTACCGCAAGGTGATGTGGAAACAATAGTGTTCTTTATTATATTTCCGCTAATGAAGAAATAAAAAAAAATTTTTTGTTGAACGAAGGAATTCTTAGTTCACAGATATTCCATGTCAGACATTGCTCACTGTGAAAACTTGAATAAATAGAAAAAATAAATAAATAAATAGAGTAAATAAATAAATAAAAATAAATAAATCGAAATAAATAAAATAAAAACATGAAAGGTGGGCGCGGAGATTATAGGGAGCCAGAAATGGAAGGGGGGCAGATTGAGTTTGATCATGAGGGCGATCTAAAAGTGGAACAAAAATAATAAAACTATTTGAAATAAAATCTTTTCATATATATTTATGGTTTAAATCTTGTAGTATGAATTGTACAATTATTTAAAAAATTGTGTTTCATCAGGTTCAAATGATTCGTCGCTATAGTAGCCCAGGATTAATGATTTTTAAGATTCTATATTTATTTTGCTCATTTAATAGAAAATTAAAATTAGAAAAATAAGCGTTAGAAATGTATTTAGAATAGAATAAATTGTATAGTGCATAATAATTATATCGGTATGATTTTGATTAGAATTTTTTTTAATATTCGAAAGTAAAACAAAATAAGTGGTAATCGAAATATAATAATTAAAAGTGTCATGAAATTTTCAAAGTTCGTGAAGGCGCGCGCGTTAGCGTGCTAGTTCCTTTTTAAAAAAGGAGATCTAAATCGATAGTCGAATATATCGAAATATTGTTGCCTCTTTTCGGCGATACCGATTGGTTCTCTCGCTGCGCTTACTTCATGAGCAGCTGTCATCATCGCGGAGATCGCATGTGTTAGATGTATGTGGTTAATAGTTAATAGTTAAATAATGTAAAAATGAAAATTTTGTTGCTATTATAATTCATAATTCATAATTATAGTCTCTCGGTCTTTTCTGTTAACCTATACTAACCTTCGCTGGAGATTAGTAAGAAAATAGTAAGAAATTAGTAAGAAAAGACAGTCTCGGTGGTCTAAAGGCTTAGGACGCTCGCACGGAATGCAAGAGATCCGGGTTCGACTTCCGGCCGAGGCATTATTTTTCGCAATAAGTTTATTACAGTTTTTAAGTTGGGAATTTTGGGGGGATTATTAATATTTTCAGATTTGATTGCGTTGAAAGTCCAACAACCATATCGGCACGCAATTATAATTTCTGA